GCGGAAGGAAGCGGCGAGCGAAATCTCCACATGCTGGTGAAGGCCGTCTGAGAGGTCGGCTGGGTGGCAGGTGGAGGGAGGTCAGTGCAGATGGGGCAGGGCAGAAGGCTGGGGGGAGGAGGGAGGAGGGAGGAGGGAGCTCTTTAAGGTGATAGATCACCTGGTGTGTTCCGATCCACGGGAGAAGATTTACATACCCGGAGAGTCCAGGGTGGAATGAGTGACAAGCACATAAAAAACAACAACAAAGGGTGTCGGGGAGAACCAATGATTGACGGTTCAAGTTGAACAAGGACACCAAGATGGGATCAGGTGCTTAAGAGATTGATGGGGGGAGGGGGGCAGACTGTGGTGACAGGGGGAGGGTCAGAGAATCGGGGAGCCTCAGCCCACATGCAGGGTGGGCCCGGGGGGAGGAGAGAAGGGGGGCAGCTAGCATCTGGGTGCAGCATCCAGGACCATGGGGAGGGCCGTCCTCCCGCCAGAGCTGCCATGGGGGAGCGCCAGCTCTGCAGGAAGGACCTGCGCTCAGGCCTCGGCTGCAGGAACGTGGTCTTGGCGCGAGCAAGCGAGGAGCTGGATCCGGAGGGGCCGCCGCTGGGGCTGTCAGTTCCGTTTCTGCAGCAGGAGATCTGAGGGGTGCGTCTTCGCGGCCACCGCACCAAGGAAAACAAAACACAGTCACATGGTCTGGCTGCTGATGGAAATGGAATGACAACATCACCCGTCGGGAGGTGAAGGCAGGAAGTGCGCGTGTGGGTGCGAGAGGTGGTGGCAGTGCCCAGACCCACCGTGGAAGTGACAAGGCGATGCCCCCAACGCAAGCAGCTTAAACCCATGGCCTCTCCGGGTGCACGTGGGTAGGAGGAGAATCAGTGGAAAGAGTGGGAAGCGGTTGTCCTGAGGGGCAGGGCCGTGAGGGAGGGAAGAAGAGGCCGAGGCGGCCGGGCATGAACAGGTAAAAGCCGGAATTAGAAGCTGGGCCAAGACCCGGGCCCAGAGGAAGTGCTCCGCATGCAGCCGCCATGGCGATGAGGATGGATTCCGAGCACCGTGCCTGGTCCATAGTAGGTCTTCACCTGGGACCGGTCTCATTCCCTCCCTGACAGGGCAAAGAGGGCTCGTTGTTCAGGATTCTTCAGGAAGCGACCAGAGCCTCGGAGTGTCCTCCTGCCTCTCAAAGCTGCCCCT